GGAGGTTCTCAGCTATTATTTTGTTAAATAAATTCTCTGTCCTCTTCTTCCTCTTTTCTCCTTCTGGAATACCCACTACTTTTATTATTGTCTTTTCTAATGTAGTGTGATAGCTTTCGTTGGGTTTCTTCACTTTTTAGAAATCTTAGTTCTCTCTTCCACCTGAATTATTTCTAGATTCCTGTCTTACAACTTGCCAGTTCTTTTCCATCTGTTCTTCTCTATTTCCAGTGCTAATACATTATTCATCTCATTTATTGAGTTCTTCAGCTCCATAATTTGTTTGGTTCTTTTTTAGAATTTCAGTGTCTTTGGTAAATTACTCCTCTGCTCATAATTTTTTTCCCTGAAATCATTGTATTGAGTTACTGAGTTTTCTTGTAGTTCACTGGATTTCTTTGTAACGGCTATGTGGACTCTTTGTCAGGTCACAATATTCCATGTCTTCGGGTTCAGTTGCTGGAAAATTGTCATTTCTTTTTGTGATAGAATATTGTTGTGATTTTTCATAGTGTTTGATGAAAAGTGTTTCTGCCAGTGCATTTGAAGTAGGCAATACCTTTCTTATTTAGGCAATGCTTTCTTTACTTTAATTCTAACAGTTCACGGGTTGATGATTAGGCACCTTCTTTTTGTTTTCCTTAAGGTGGCACTATAACACATTTTTGGTTGCTCTTACCAGAGCTAACTCAATGAATGCTAAGATTGGGGGCACGTGTGAAAAACAAACATCAAAAGGAAATAAAAAGCACTGTCAGTAGGGGAAAAAGGTGGCAGTAGAGTGGGGGCAAGTTTGTACTTGGGGTTCTGGGTGTGCTCACCCACCTGTAGGGGAATCCTTGTGAGGGGGACGGTCCCAGAGGTGTGTGGGCAGACAGAGAAACTTCCCTTTAGTTCTCATTGTCTGCTTACTTTTCCTTTTCTTCCTCCTCAATTATTATAGTCTTTAAGAGAGGGCAGTGGGTCCCTTCAGTAGAACACGCCGAGCAGACCCTCACTTACCACCTTTACCCTCCACCTCAGGATGCTCTGTCCCACTGCTGGACCTGCCACTGTTGGCTCTGCAGCCTCCTCCCTTGGGCTAATCCACCCACTCTCAGATGCGTGGTTAGATGGATTTCTTAGGTGTTCTGGTATGCTGTATAGAGGCACTTTTTTTTGGAGATGGATGTTGTATTAGTTGTAAGTTGAACGGAGAGAAAAAAACTCATACCACATGTTGCTGATGTCATTCCCCAATTAACTTTTTAATCTCAAGTTAATGCTCAAGGTAAGTGTACTTGTCTTAGGGTATTTTCTGACTAGTTCCTTCTTTCAAACATTCTATGTTTAGCTCTATCATTCTATGTTGTACTGGCTTAATTGCATTGTATTGTAGTAGACAGTGAGTGCCTGATGATGAGGAATGTTCTTTTTACCCTTAATATTAGATGTCATCTGATACATTAAAGGCTGTTGATTAAATGCTTATTGGATAATACATAACAGAATGAGTATAACTGGGGTGAAGTTTAAAGTAGGCACCCAGTCATAAAACTGGCACATCAGCTTTACTAAATAGGATAATACTTTTTCCTGTAGGGCTACTAGTGTGTGGGACTTCATTTTCTTGGAGATGAAGCCATTTTTTCAGTTCATAAAACTATGTTTGTTGTTTATGTTTAACTTCTAAAATTTGGTTTTTTGAATGGGTAAATAGTTTTCATATTTCAGAATGCAAAAATACAAACAGTGAAGCATCTCCCTCATCCTTCCTCTTCAGCTATTCAGAAACTAATAAGGTTTTGAGGTTTCCCTCCCCAGAAGCAACCAATTTTATTAATTCAAAAGTAGTGTTGGTTTTTTGTGTGTGGGTACGGATTTGGATTTTAAAAAACTTTTTTTTTTTTCTAAGCTGATAACTTGTGTTTGTATAGTGTAATGAATAGCTGAGTGAAAGTATTGTGTGATTTATTTATTTTTTTCAGATACATCAAATTACAGAATGGCTTGCAGGCACTTTTGATTTCAGACCTAAGTAATATGGAAGGTAAAATGGGAGATGCAACAGATGATGAAGAGGAAGAGGAAGGGGAAGAGGAAGATGAGGATGATGATGAAGATTCTGGAGCTGAAATCGAAGATGATGATGAAGAAGGTTTTGATGATGAAGAGGAGTTTGATGATGATGACGAGCATGATGATGATGATCTTGATACTGAGGATAATGAATTGGAGGAATTAGAAGAGAGGACAGAAGCTAGAAAGAAAACCACTGAAAAACAGGTGTGAATCATGTCTTTTATGTCTTTTTCTAATTTTGGAACTCTTTGGGATAAATTCTAAACTCATGTTTTATTTTCTTATGGAAAAGGGAAATTATATATCTTCTGATTTTCAGGAAAGGTCTATTCTGTATAAAAATTACATTTTAAAGACTTTTCTGATTATAAAAGTGACAAATGACTAATGGAAAGTAAGGAAAAAACGAAACATAAAAGTCACCCATAATCATAACTCTCAGAGGTATTCACTGGTAATATTTGAATTGTGTATTTATACACATTCTGTGTTTTAAAAACAAATGCTGAGAGGTAAGAATCTGCATTCTTATTCTGGGGTAGATGAATAAAAGAGTGTATTGTTCTTGAGTAGAGACTGGAGAAAAAAAAGAACACGGCCAGTATACAATCCTCACCTGGGCCTATGGATCTACGAGTCCTCCTGGGTAATTTCTATCTAGGTAATTGAGTGTGATTTATCTCACATTCAGTTTAGTACCAAAGGTCTGGATAAATAACAAGTAAATAGGAGGAATCGAAATAGAAATGGGCATTTGAGCTTAGTGAAATATATTGAAATTATATAACAAGTTAGTGAAATACATAAAAATCAATGAATATATAAATAGGGCTTGATAGGGAGAATTTCCCTCTCTAAGTATCTTTTAAAGAATGCCTCCGTTTTCCAGTAGGGAGTACATGTTGAGGGTAATATTGTGGAGGCATTACAGTGGAATTGATCAGCAAATGTTAAAGTGAGTTTCTTGAATACTGACAATACATTCAACATGGCACAGTCTACATACAAATGAATTAAAGTTC